CCCCAAAACCCCAAAACCCCAAAACCCCTTTAGAGTATAAAATTATTGAAATGGATTCTCTACAAGAGGAAAAAGAAGATTTAAGCTTTAGGAAACAAGATAAGATTCTACCATTCATGGTGGATAGTCAATCTGAGATATCTAGTGTTGTACAAAGACCAGCCTCTCCAGGTATCTTTACTTCCGAAAATTGGTTTAATACTTCTGTAGAGAAGAAACTGTTTGAAATGGAAGACAAGAAGGCCAGCGAATATAAATTGTAAGCTTAGATTTCACCTTATCACGAAACATTTTCCCTAGCCCAGCTCAAAGCGATTCAGACCTCCAATCAATGGACCTTCATGGAGAAGGTAAGTTATTTTTAATCTCATAAGTTTCTGATGAAATCTCCAGATCACAATAGGAATTCAACATTTGGTTAACTTATTTAGGAAAGAATGAGATTAAAAAGAAAAAGAAGAAAAACCTGCTGAGAAAGATCCTCAGAAAGAAATACGGTATGTGGAATAGGTAATACCTTCAGCTGAGGATAGGCAATCTGAACAGAGTATACAGAAGAGTAGTTATTTTCTCCAACCTGTATAGAAAAGATTGAGAGGAAGTTAACTCCTCATGCAAGCAAGAAATTACCGAAAGAAGAGGAGAAAGAATCTACATTACAGCACAAGAAGACTAATCCTAATATAAGCTTGAATACTGAGCATCATTCAGGTAGGCTCAGATTTAATAGCTTTAGAAATAAATCTGTGCGGTGATAGGATTAAGACAAAGGAGGATAAACTTTTAAAGAGGTAATTTCCTTGCCTAATATGCCACAGAGAAGACCTAAGACCCTTGACTCAGCCAGTTTACACGGTATGGGTCTTCTTAACCTCTAGGGGGTCCTGAGTGGGAAATTGCCCATCTTCAAATCCTTTTGTGATACCAATCTGCTTATTGATTTCTTTAGGACAAAGCATTTTTATTTCTCCAGACATTTACGCTGGTCTTTGATCTTTTTCACAATTTTTCTGTCTATTTTACAAGTGATATGCTACATCTCGATTTTGTACCAGGACATTGAGTTTGCAGCTCCTAGGGATGTAATCCAGTTTGCTTTCAAGAAGATCTGGATTTCTATACTAGTCTCATTAGGAACCCAGCTAATCAGTACTTCAGCCTAAGTCTCACCTGTAGTATTTGCCACATGTTACTTGTTAAGAAGAAACGAGGATATTTTTACAGAAAGATGATTTATGTGAGGTTTTAAGTGAATTTTTGTAGGGATAATTATGAAGAGTTTAAGAAAAATTTGAAGAAGGTGAAGAAAATCAGGTTTGGTATCTTTTATGGGGTGTTTGGTGTGCTGGTTTGTAGTCTGTATGGCTATGCTATATACTTCAGCCTTGTGAGTTCCAACGATGTGGCTCTACTGTGGGTCATGATTAGCTGATTCTGATTTATTTGGGATTTTTGTATAATTGACTTCCTTCTGATATTGTGTCAACTCTGGATCCATGGAGTCAGTATCAAGTATGAGAAAAAGATTAACAAACTCAGATTCCTCAAAGTGGCTAAAGAGGCAGAAAGTTCAAATTAAAACTTTCAATATTGCAGTTTAAAATAGGGGTTTTGGGGTTTTGGGGTTTTGGGG